CGAGCCGTCATCGTGACCGAGTTCAAATCTATTCCTAGAAAGGAAATCGATTGACTGGGTTGAAGGGAGCTCTTTGTCCAGTTGACAGAGAGGCCCAGCGTTTTCAGATGGTCGAGGAGAACTGCGCGGTGCGACAGAAGCTCCGTCTGTGATTGGGCCAAAATCAGCCAGTCGTCCAGATAATTCAATATGCGCAGCCCCTGGCTCCGCAGGGGGGCGAGCGCCGTATCCATGCACTTCGTAAATGTGCGGGGCGCCAGAGATAAGCCGAACGGGAGAACGGCGTATTGATAAACATGACCCTCGAAGGCGAAACGTAAGAATGGCCTGTGACGGGGATTTATCTGGATCTGAAAATAGGCGTCTTTCAGGTCTAGAGAGATGAACCAGTCCCCCTGGCGCACCTGCGCGAGGAGTTTCCTGGTAGTGAGCATCTTGAACGGTCTCTTCATGAGCACTTTGTTCAAAGACCTGAGATCTAAAATCGGTCTGAGGCCGCCGTCTTTCTTGGGAACCAGAAAATAACGGCCGTAAAAACCCCGACTCGGTCATAGATGGTGGGACTCTCTCTATGGCGCCCTTTTGCAACAGCGTCGCAATTTCTGAGCGGAGCGCGCCGGCGGCCAGCGGGTTGACAGTAGATTCGAGCCGCGCGCGCGCACGAGGCGGGCGGCGGCGAAACTGTAGCAGATAGCCGTTCTTTATAATGCTTAGAACCCACGGGGAAATGCCTGGAATGGCTTCCCACGCTTTGGAGCATGCGGCTAGTGGCCGAATGGCTATATCGCCCTGATTGCTGCACATAGCGGGCTGGACACAGTGTGTGGGCGCGCTTTGAATGTGTGTGGCAACGGGATTTGCACTCAGAGAGGAGTCTATGGGCCGTGAAACAGAGCGAGCAGAGAGGGGACACGAGCTCGTGGGCGTGTTTATGTTCTCTGATATTAGAGCGGGCTGTGCCCGTTTCATGTGATGGGGCTCTGATAGAGACACGGGATATGTTATGCTTGTGTGTATGGGTGAGCACAGGATTGTGGGCACATTTTCTACACAACTGGCAAATTTTCTCTTTTTGAAATTTCTCTGGGTAGCCGTAAAAACGGCTTTTTGTCGCTCGCAAGCGGGCTGGGACACCGGCTTGTTTGTGGCGGTCAACACTACAGCAGTCGGCGAAATAACGGGGACTGGCAGAGGGCGAAGCTTTGACGGCGGTCCGGCCGCAGCGGGAGAGCACCTTCGTTTTCTTAACTTTGCTAGGCAGACTTCTGATGATCAGGCTTCAGCGTGATCTTAGGTCGCGGGCCTCGTGGGGGCGGCGGTCTGCGGCGGCTGTCAGAGCGAGAGCGAGGGCGGCCGCCCTGTCTGCGCTGGGCTGTTTGAGTCTGCGGAGGGGGGCGCTGTGGTGGAGCTCTGGCAGGAGGCTCGCGAGAGCGGCCCGCGGAAGAGCTAGCGCGGCGGGGCAGAAACAAATTCATCGCCTGAGTAGCTTTCTGGACCTCAGAAAAGCGATCGACGATTCCCGTGACAGCAGATCCAAAAAGGCCCGTCGGGGAGAGGGGCGCGTTAAGAAACGCGGCGCGCTCAGAATCTCCCATGTCGGCGAGTGTGAGCCATAAGTGTCTCTCGGCAACACAAAGGCTGGCCATGCATCTCCCCAGAGCTTGTGCGGCGGCTTTAGTGGCGCGAAGGGCGAGGTCCGTAGCACTTCTCAGATCCGTGTCAGATCCTGAACTTCACGCAGGAATGGAGTGGCCCGGTTGCACGCGGGGGTCGAGCGCCGATGAAAAAAGCTGCCGTCCATCCGGTTCGGGGCCTGCTCGGGTGGAGGAGACCACTCGAGACCGAGGCGTTCGACGGCCTGTGAGAGGAGGCGCATTAGTTCCTCCTCTATCCCGGCGTGGATCCCCGCCGATTCTCTCGTGGATCCGAGAGATGACCATTCTTCACTGTCTGATGCGAGCAGTGAACAGGAGTCCTTCTCCTCCGCGGCGTCATCGGAAGCGACAGAGCGGCCACTCGGCGGCAACTGTATGTCCGGCAGGGGCGGGGAGGGAGAGCGGGAAGCGGGAGGCGGCGGCGGCGGCCCGCATTGTTCCGCTGGGGGCTCCGGCGGCCTCTGGGAGCGGCGTTTCTTCTTACGCGGCGAAGAAGAAGGCGGCGCGGGAGCGGATTTTGCTGCCAGAAGTCGTGCCCGCAGGGACGAAAACGGCAGGCTCTCACAGAAGTCGCATCCTCCATCCGCGAGGGCGAGTTCTGCGTGCTCGAGTCCCAGGCAGAGAGCGCAGATGACATGGCGGTCTCCGTCCTCGAGACGAGCGCGGCAAGAGCCGCAGGAAAAACGAGACATCTTTAAAAAGACGCTCGGCTCTTTTAGATATAATGGAGAAAAGAGAAAGGATACAGTCGTCGGATGGCGCTAGCTTGCAGGGCGGCTGAAGGTGGCGAAGACGGCCGGCTTCTTCAGGGTCCGGGAGCTCGCTAGAGAGATGCCTTCTCGACGGCGACGGCTTTTCTCAGGACAGCAGAAGCGTGCAGCTTGCTGAAGATGAAATGAATCAACATATAAGCCTGGGAGAGACTGTTATATACACCATGACCACGCCCATTCTGGCGGGCCATGACGCAATGAGCGCGCGGGCGCCTCTCATTGGAAGCGGGTTCAGCCCCGCTCTCCCATAGGCTTAAGCAGTTCTCTCTGAGCGAACCAATGAGCTGCTAGCTAGCCTGCTCTAGGTCTGCCGCAGAGGAACTGCGTTGTGTATGGATACAAATTATGAAATAATTTTTTGGCTTCAATATCTCAGCAAAGATGAATCTTTCCCGCAGCGTAAGCTAGCTTACGCAATACGAGAGAACCTCTCGTAAGAGAATAAATGTTTTATATATTTACGGTAGGAAATTTACAAAATATCTTCGTGGAACATGATCTTTACTTAATATCCTAATGATTTTTGGCATAAAAGAAAAATCGATCATTTTGACCCATTGGCTATTGCCACAAATATACCCGTGCTACTTGTGACTGGTTTTGTGATCCAGGCAGGGTCACAACTGTCCTGCTCTATGTTATTACAATAAATAGGGATCAACGGTGCGTTCAAAATCACATACTGTCTGTGTAGGTATACTGCGTTTGAATTACTTTGCGAACATTAAAGTATGTTCTAGTATGAATGAAGTTCAGACGTAGGCTACTACATCCGCTATGTTGTTACTGTCACGTGACCTACCAGCGTTACCACTTCCATTCACAAATCCTCTCCTCTGGCCTCATGGGATAGTAAGTTGTCCATCGAATGCGCACCAGAATCTCGGTCGGAAGTTGTAGGATATCCAGGTACTTTTCGCCTACTATTTTTCGAGTAGGTATAGCTATTATGTATTCAGACATACTTTTTTTCGCATACTATATAGTAGGGAAGTATTTAATTTCAGATGCAGCGTAAGACTTTCAAGCTTCAAAAGGGATACTTAAGCACCATGAAAGTATGTTAATATCCCATACAACTGTGCTGTAAGCATTTATAATATTATTAATATTCATATTATTTACTTAATAATATTTACTTTAATATTTACAATATGTTTTGTGATGAACAAAGATAAATTTAAGTTATTCATTACCCCTCCAATGAGCTTTTTTTTTTTCTTGTCAGTGATTTGAACTTGAGAACTTGTTCATTCTGATTTGTGAATGAATCATTTAGAGCAGTTTTTTAAACTAAATCAACTTATTCACTGAAAATAGCCAACTTAAAAGAATGAATCAGACATTGCTACTTTCATGAATTCTCATGAACGCAGCGAGGAGAGATGTGTGGATGCCAAGATTTTCAGTGAATAATGACTTAGATATAAAGATATCGAATAAGAACCACAAGTATACTTTTATAGCACTTTTGGGACTCATTGAGAACAGAGACGTGATATTGTGCTGCACCTGTTATGTGTAAGCCTCCCTTCTGGGCAGACATGTTTGTTTGTCTGAACGTGTGTGTGTGGCCGGACGTTTGTGTGCGCACTGGTAGACGTATATTTGTGTATGCTTCTGTTTGTGTGTCTGTGTGGTCTCACATTCATGCCAGCTCACTGCATCCTGAGCTCTGTCCAGTTGGATCCCTTACAGCATCCATGAGAGGAATCTCACACCACCTGTGATTTAGCCCCAGAGAGCCATTAAACTATTGTTCTTCTGTTACTGAGCACCGGCAGCCAGAGCCATCAACCTTTTCTGACATCTGACTTCCTAATCAAATGAGTATAGAGTTTGCAGGGAGTTCCTCCCTGTCTTTAGATATAGATGAATGATTGGGTGGGGTGCAATCGAGTTTAAACAGCTGGAGTCAAAGGGGATTTTCCTTCTTTGTTAGACCAATGTTATATTATAACAAATTATCTGACAATTATCTTGAGATGACTTAAACAGTTACTCTTATTCAACCGATGTTTACAGATGGTTATCTTATATACTGCATAGTCAGGAAAATGAATTTATGATAAATGAGGACGACAGAGCAAAGACAAAAGTGTAGGAGGTCAAGGTTGATAAGAACAGGGATAGAACACACAAGATATTAGGGCTGCACAATAAATCGAATTTGTAGTCGTGATTACAATTACGGATGCCACAATTATGTAATCGTTCAAAGGCGCAATTACAAAAAAAGTCCACTTACATTATTCTGTGTGCTTAATGTGTTTTTTTTTCTTTCTACAGCTTATCTTAAGGTTTTTTTTTCTTGTGATAATCGTAATTAATAATCGCAATTACAATTCAAGGGAATAATCGACAATTATGATTGTTGTCATAATCATGCAGCCCTACCCTATATACTCCAGTGTGTGGCAAGCTGTTTTGAACTCCCGAAACGAACGTTAAACAAACTTTGTTTTGGCCTGATTTTGTTCGAAATTATATCACACCTGTTCTTTCTTTGATTTTGCTTGAAGTATATCGTCTGAGAAGGAAATCTCACTGCTCCCTCTTCTGGTCTCCATAGGCTCTCAGTGCGTCCATGAGAGAGGGCCCCTGATCCGGGCTGTGCTGCTTACGGGGCCGGCAGGGGTTGGGAAGAAGATGTTGGTGCATGCCCTATGCAACGAAACTGGTGCAAACTTATTCGACCTCTCCCCTTCAACACTAGCTGGCAAATATCCAGGCAAAAGCGGACTGCAATTCCTCCTGCACATGGTCTTCAAGGTGAGGGGAAACCATCTGAGGCCTCTCTGAAAATACCTTCTGGGAATATAGAAAGCCAAGATTCTAAGATATTGAAATGTTGAAATTCCATGAGCTTCATTTAGCTCCACATTTCATAAAAACTGATAGGATAGACATACCTGATTGATTGCTATGCATACTTTAGCTTGCGTCAAGACTTATCGTCAGGATCATCAATTCATGTTCTAACATAGAGTGAAACATGAGGCTTTGCGTGATGTTTTTTCTGTTTATGAGAAATATTCTGGCATGACTTCCAAACATAAACACTAATGCAAATGGAAAAACTTTCCTCCCTGTCTCAATGTGGCAACAAAATACTTCTAGAAAGACGTTGTTTACTTGCTGTTTAACATTTCAAGAAGTGTTTAGTACTGTACATAAATAAACTCGCGTGTTTAACCTAGGAGGCCAAATTGTATCCCCATATCACCTCTTCCCTTTTTTTAATGACGCTTTAGTAATAAATCACAAAGAATGGAAAGGTCAAATCAATAAAGGGCTATGAAATTTGGGCTGTTGCCCACCAGTATAGTTTTTTTGTGGCCATATTTGTGTCCTTTAAGAGAGGGGAATACCAGGCTTGGAAGTTTTACTTGAAGAACTGTTCCTGAGAGCATCTGGCACCACAGATAAACAAGGCAGGATGAGGCAGGGGGATTCTGAGATTCTGTGCTCAGCATTGTGTTGGATGGTGGTCTTTCAGCACCTCTCCTAATGCATGCTGGGAATAAAACCAGGTGCCAGCATGATTTCCTGCTCACTAAGCCGTTTTGAGATGAATCACTCCTCCACTTTCCTGTCCACTGCAACGCTCTCTGTTACAAACATTGGAGAAAGGTTTTATTTACATATATTTAGGGAAGTTAGTTTGTTACTGTTCCCTCTAATCTGTACAACTGCATACTTCTGATGTTGCTCCCGTGGAAGCCAAAACAAATCCGACTGAAACAAATCCGCAAATCCAGGTGGTTAACTCAAATATGTGGGAAAAGAGCTAGTGTTTTCTTGAATTACAGCTATATATCCAACGATTTTCATTATGGAACTGAATCTGAGAAATCCTGTGTGGAAATATGCAGTGCTGATTAATTCGCTATGGACCGCATCATAAAACAGAAGCCGACAGAGATTTCAAGTTCTTAGCGGTTAATAAAGGGAGTTCAAATTTACTGTTTCCAAACTAACAGAAGCCCATGCTTGACTTTTCTTAGGAAACCAAGACTGAGACAAAAGCATTCTACTATACTACAATCTTACTAGAGTGTATACAATGCATAGTATGCAGATTTTATGCATGCAGCATAACAGAATGACCTTATAGGCCAGTGGTTCTCAACCGTTTTGATGCCAAAGACCCCCAAATATGATGATCCCCTCGTGAGGGATTCCCCCTTTTAAAATATGAAGGCAGCTAGATATGTGTAAATATTTGCCAAATATATACTGTGTGAAATAAAATAAAAAATAAAAAATTCGCTAAAATATTATCTAGAAAATATTGACTTGCATCTTCTTTTAGATGTATAAACCGAAAAAGAAACTTTTCACTTTCAATTCATTTTCATTTCATTTAGTTGTATAGCATTTTTTTTTTTATATGTATCTCTCCAGACCAATTTTACACATTTTTTCAGCAACAGTCCTAGAAAAAGAGAATACATAATAATAAAAACACAATATTTCAATATTTATGTCTCAAATTTTCCACAGACCCCATAGAACACTCTCAATTGTTATATTCATCCAGATAGGCTAAATATTTGCAATATATATTTTGTTTTTTGATTTTAGCTACTGTGTAAAATGTAGCACAATCAAGGTATATATATATATATATATATATATATGTTTTATGTATAAGTAGTATTTTATAGAATTTCTGTATAAACAAAATTGTGGTACATACCATGGGGTGTTTGTGCTTAAATGGGCAAATGGTCTGCATGTTTTTGATCAGAAACAAATTTGCAGGAACATAGTTTGTGGGAGTCTGTGGAGTTTACAGAAATTACTGTTAAACATTAGTGAACTGAAGGCATTGTTTTCAGTCAATTAATATTAAAGCATGCACTCACTTTACTAATGTGCTACCATTAGTTTTAAGGGCAGTGTTGATTATGGTCAGTGTTGTTTCTGCTCTGGCCGATAAGTGATTGTTTGTGTGAGCTGCTGATTGTTTGGGTTGTTGTACCGTTTGGCTTGCGTTGGAGGAACATTGTCGTGTTTTGGCAGGTGGCTCGCCAGCTGCAGCCCTCAGTGATTTGGATCGGCGACGCTGAGAAAACATTCTACAAGAAAGTTCCAAAGCTGGAGAAAGAGGTTTGTCGCATGTCACACTTACACTCACAGTCATTAGAACACTTACTAAATAAACACAATTTTGAAACATACATACAAGTCTAATACCAGACCATAAACTGTGATATTGTTCTTCATTTGTTTAGCTCTTCATTCACAAAATCCAATGCATATAAAGTAAAAACCTCTTTTTTAAAGCCATTGTCAATGTGAGGTGGTGGACTCTGCTGTCCTCTTGTGGTTAAAGATGTAGAGTGCTAACATTAAAAGAGTGCTGCTGCAGTGCTGAAAGTTTATGATTCTTGAATGTTTTGTTCCATTGCGCTTCCAACAACTCTTTCAGCGTCAATTTAAAAAAAAAAAATCCTGAAAGTTCGAGTTAGAATAGTTTGCAGGAACGTGATTATAAACCCAACGAGGCTGTGAAAGGGGACTTGTGAGTCGATGAGTTTACCTGTTCGAATGATGACGTTTAATGTCCCGACAACCTCTGTAGTCCCATTTAGCCACTTGTTGTTAACAACCGCCGGTTCACATATCATTGGGTATTATTGATGACATAGAATAAAACATGGAAATAAGCTTGTGTTAACCAGACCATATTTCAAGTATTTAACAAAAAGAAAACATTGACAAGAATTGGGACGATGGAACCTCAAGTGCTAAAATTGTCTACAAAAATGCATCATCCCTGCAGGACTCTTGTTTTCTTCAGTTCAGCTGTTTCTTAATTCTGTTCATTTCTAGATGGAACCCAAAAGACTAAAGAAAAACCTGCCGAAGGTCCTAAAATCTATTAAACCAGAGGACCGTGTGTTAGTGGTGGGAACGACACGCAGACCTTTTGATGCAGACATCAAACCTCTCTGTAAAGTTTACAAGAAGATCATTTTGATCCCTAGACCAGATTATGCTTCGAGATTTAGTAAGTAATCATCTATGTTTGTGTTTAAAGTTTCATACTGAGATCGATTTCACATATTAAGTTATTAACACATGTATCATTCTTTATAATTACAGTTTGCATTTCTATACATCATGTTTTTTTTGTTTTTTTTTGTTTTTTTTAGATCTAGATTATTGTGTATATTAATTTATCTTTTATGTTTAGCTCTGTGGAAGGAGCTGCTCCAAGCAGGTGGTGCTCAGTTGGGCCCTAAGCTGGACCTGAGCTCTCTAGCTAAAGTTACAGATGGTTACACTCAGGGTCACATTCTTCAGGCGATCCAAACTGTCCTGAACTCTTACCGCCTCAACCAGCAGACCAAAAGACCCCTCACTGCTGTGGAGTTCATCCCACCTCTTGCAAGGCTAGACCCGGTCTACAAAGAAGAGGAGGAGGCCTTTAAGGTCAGTTTTTTTTTTTTGATGCTTTCTGGAGGGACGCATGTGTTGAACCCAGCTATACGTATGCATACTGACTGTAGATTATGTTTGTATTTTCTGCGTTGATAGACTTGGTACAGCCGGACACCTCTGGGCAAAAAAAGGGCACGAGCGGCCAGGGCCAGTGAGGAGGAGGCAGATCTCAAGAAAGGGAAAACAAAAGGAGGAAAATTACAAACAAAAGGGAAGGAGGGGAAGAATAAGAAGAGAAAGAAAAAGAAGTGAAAAAAATGGACACTCCAATCAGACCCTTAAAAAAAATACAGTTGCAGTTCATCTTCTGGCCAGCAGAGAGCATCAGCACATCTCCCAATGAAAAGTCTACTTCAGTGTTTAATCCTTTCCTTTGTTTCTCAACTAGTACTTTTTATGGTATTTTTACTAATTAATTCTACTCATTCCACAACCAGTTTGGATTATGTTGGTTTTCATCTGTGTGCTTTATCATGTGTATTTTTGGCTAATTATGATATTTCTTACTTGAATTAGGTATTCCCATTGGGGAAAAAATAGTTTCTGCGATGATATAGTCAGACTAGCAGACCCTTTACTGAGAACATAAAACATTATACCTCTAACAACTGAAGCTTCTCACAATTGATACAAGAGCTTGGACACTGTTCCAAACTGTTTAGATTGGATTGCCTTCAACTTTATCACTGTGCAGAGAGGAAGTACAAAGATGGGTGTGTTGTTTAATATGTATGTTGCTTTACTTTATAATTTGATCTATTAAAATGTGATTGTTGAACCTGACTTGAAGCCAGACAGCCATTAAAGGACAAAACATGAACCTGAAATTGTCTCTCTTGTCAATGTCCTGAAATGATGTGCATTCAGACTCGGATACAATAGCCCATTAACATGCTTGCAAATAAAATACACTTAAAAATGTATAAATGTAATTGCATTGGATAACAATATATGGTATAGAAACCGGGTGCAATTATTTTAGAGAAAAACAGTACGAGCACACTTTTCATGCAAAAAAGGGAAAATAAATGTGTTAGGTTTTCATTTATAAAATAATAGATATCCAGTTTAAAATTAAGACAAAATACCTTTGAACATTCAAATTAAGGTGAAAAAGGATTTGGGCATTTTGTGGTTGTGGTTGTGGCAAACTCCATAGTTATCAAATGACCTTGTGTGCAGTTAGTTCAAAATAATTGTGAAAATGGTTAGTCACCATTAAAAAAAATTTGACATTGCAGTATTATAAACGATTTAACCGTGCACATCTTTGTTTTGTTTTTTTTCATGTGCCCTCGTCGTAATATTTAAACAAAATAACTTGCACTCTCTTCAGAGACATCTCATCTCTTCTATGATGATGTGTCAGGACAACCTGTCACTCACATGAGATCATAGCAATAGCAAATCACAACCATCCAATCAATTCCCGGTGGACAAAATCAAGTCCCCCACTTCAAAAAGCAGTACGAAAAGCAGCTTCATTCACAAAACGTTGCCACAGTTACGTTTTTCTAATGAGCTTGGGCTGAAAGAAAGTCATACAGGTTTGGAATGACATGTCAGTGAGTAAATGATGACTGATTTCTCGCTCTCTCTCAGTATCAGAGAGCTTATTGTCCCATGTAATCTTCAGCCAAACTGTGTCTGCCATCCGGGCTGCAGTGCGACATCTCTGCCCAGGTTGCTTATGAGACCGCCTGCTCTGCCAAGCAGCTGAACCATTTCCCTTCTTCCTTTAGAATCTTCCCATGGGAGCCTATTTTAAATTCCTTCATTCTCGGTAATGTCTCCAACCCCTTGTTTGCAACATCATCGACTCCCTCACAGCTAATCCGAGGTCGTTCTTGGTAAATTTCCCTCTCCCTTTTCTTTTTCTTTTTCTTTTTTTTCTTTCTTTTTTTTTTTTTTTTTTTTTTTTTTTGTGGGGTGGAGGGGGGGGGGGGGGTGCCTTGTTCTATCTTTATCCCACTCTTCGACTCTGATCTTACCGGATCCCCTCCTCCTCACCAGGTTTATAGGGCATGACAAACACAGTCACCTCAATGTGCTCTTTGTAGCTTCAGCTCACATCTAATTGAATTAATCAGGTGTGTGTGTGTGTGTGTAGGCTACATCTATCCCGAAGAACAAAAAGAGCCCTAAAGCTGGGTGACATGTTAAGAGTATTTTTTTTTTCCTTGACTTGCTAATTTAAATGCGAGATGTTGATATGCACGTGCCCAAATGCACTGGCTTATATTTGCACACCTAATTACGGAAAATAAAAAGATGATTTGAAGTCATCTTTTCCCGCAGTGCTCTTCATACTGTTTTTAATTAAATGCCTCGTTTGACTGTACATTATTCTCATAGGTCATTCCCCTTACACACGTCTCCCCTTCAGGAGTGCTGATAATTAAACATTATTCAGATTGGATTAGTCAGATGTATCTTTTTGTCTCACTGAGACCTGAGCACAGTCCTTTCTCGCCCTGTGGCCGTTGATGTAAAATAAAGTACAGCAACTCCTTCATTTCAAGGAGCCTTTTAACCATTGTTTTGCAATTACTATTTATTTCCCTGTCCTGTTGCTCCTGGGTGCAGGGCTTTCTTATGCGGCGCTGCCTTTCCTGCAGCAAGCGCTGACCTCTGAGGTACTGTTTATAGTGATGCAGCCTGCCCGTGCCTTTACAACTTTAGTAACCCTAGGTTTGGCCTAGGGGCGGAAGGGTGAGACAGAGCCATTAAGAAGTTGTCCCTGATTTAATGGAGTTTTTTAAAGTGAGCCTTCCAAATAGGCCATATGACAGGAGATATATCTGGGAAACTGACCCACAGGATAGCCTCTCTTAAGCTGTCACATTTGACTACATCCCTGTGTGCAGAGTGCACAGTTTGCTCATTGGGAATGTAGATGAGATAGACTGCTGTTTTGTAATGGCTTGAGATTTTATTAAATGAAGGATTGGTGGCTTACGGTGGTGCTCTAGAGAAGACGAGGAGATCATCAGGGAGGATAATAATAATATAGATAGATAGATTTCTATTTCAAACAAATGCTGTTCTTTTGAATTTTTTAAAGAATCCTGAAAAAATGCATCACAGTTCCCACAAAAATAGTTGTCAGCACAACTGTTTTATACATTAATATTTCAAGAATATAATAAGGTTTTTTTGAGCACCAAATCAGTAGAAATGGCTGCTAAAAAAATTGTTTTGCCATTACATAAATTAAAAAAAAATTATTTTAAATTGTAATAATATTTCACAATATTAGGGGGTTTACTGTTGTTGTTTTTTAGATAATAAATGCAAATGAATGCAGTCTTGTTTAACAAAAGTGACTTTCAAAAACACTTAATCTCACTGACAACAAGCATTGAATTGTGAAAAGTTGAACTATGGAATACTGTTTGGGTATATACTGTAGCAACAAAATTACACTTCTCAACAAGTACATAAAAAAACTGTGTTCAACGTGTTCTCTACCCTGATAAACTATGGTAAGCCTACAATGATTTATAATTTCAGCATTTAAGTTTATGGCAGCAAAAACTTACACTTGCTCAGACAAAATGTTTTCACAACTTGTAGGACTTTCTTCTTTTTGGTGTAGATTCGCTCTATGAGATTCACACAATAGAGACAGGAGAGCTTTATGTGATGAACAGATTTAATTTAGGCTTTTATTCACATATAAACATTGATTAGCGAATATAAACAGAAGCTCTGAACCTGCTTGACACGCGAGAACTAACCTCATTTGTTCTATCAAAATGTCTATCATCATAGACTAGCACTAAGACCCAGAATCTGCCCTACCTAAATTTACAGTCAGGAGCCGCAACTGGGCAGTGCCATCCTCATATAAAGGTAGCTAACTGTGAGCTTCAGACCCCTCAGTGGGGAGGAGAGAAAACCCCAGTCACCTCCTTTCTGGAATAATTATGGAGAACAGAGAGAAAGAACAATTAGCCAGCTGGGTATTATAAAACAAAGCAATTAATGTTATGTTAATTAGCCCAACATCATGTAATTCTTTATCATTTGCTAATCATTTGTTAATTAGTCTGACTTTTTAATGCAGCAAATCAAGAGTGATTAATTTAAACATATTCTGGTATTTAAAAAAAAAACTGCAGAGCTGCACAGCATGGGTTTAATTCAGCTTCAACCTGTTTTACATAGTGTTTGCATAATGCAAATAGTCCATAATCACAATATGAGTCCCCTGAACAGTTACAATCGTTCGGCTTTTCCGAACACCATGCTATTTACTAGCGGCTTGTCAAGCAGTGTAAAACTGTGTCTAGAAATGATGCTGTGTGGATGAGAGAGGCCTGGCTACTCAGGCATTTCAGATAATCATTACTCATACAAGGAGTTACCTGGGAAGGAGAGCAGACTGGTTACACCTTTATGACTACTTTAAAAGGTCAACTAATGTCTGTATGTCAGAGCTGTATATGCTGGTGCTCAGTTTCAGAGTGAGAGTGACAGGGTAGGCAGTGCTACTTACAAAGAGGGGCTGCTGAACCAGGTGAGTGAGCAATTAAAGTCCAGGTGTGCTTCATCTCAATTACACCACTGCCCTGTCACATAATGACCAACCAGCCTGCCCCAGTCAGAAGCTCCAGCAGGGGAATCTGGGAAATCACAGGCCACTGCTGCCGCCTTTTTGGACAGGGGTGGGGAAGCCCTAACATGACTCTTTTACGCCCTTGAGAAACAGAAGTACAAGTGATTATCCACATAACTCTTTATTCAGTTTTAAGTTTTCTTCTTTGCCAAGCCAGCACTGAGACTGAGTACTGGCCCATGTCAATATCTGCCGAGGTAAAGCACAGAAAAGAGTAGCACATTATTATAAATAGGGAAGATTGGGGTAAGATGTGCCAGTTGGTAATTTGCATAAAAAAATGTGTTCACAAAATATAAATGTAATAGCCTACATTTTAAAGACAAGTAAACAGTCAGTAATAAAAAACGAAACAAATTAAAGGCAAAAGCACAAATAAATACAATACAATACAAATGGAATAAACAGTGCTCTTCAGGCAGGTCTAATAGTTTTGAGGTACCGAAATTTAATAAAGTAGTCTAATCAAATAAATAACACTGCATAGTCTTCATATCCTTTTTAAAGATCAAGAGCAGTGAGTTGTTGTTTTTTCTTTGTCCTTTATTGTTTGGTTAACATTACAAACGCAGACCATAAACTGTATAAAACAATGGACGTAGTGTCTGTGACGTCACCTGTGATTTCTGAAGAGCATTTTTGAAGCCTGAAGTGGGCAGAACCAGCCGTCGCCATCTTGGCAGAGCGTCACCTCTGGTCACTCCAGATAACCATTCACGAGTTCACACTTACATACAATTAGAGTGGATAAGGTTTAATGCGTATTTGGCGTGCTGTCCG